GTCATATATGTTCTAAATATGAACCACATCGGATCATAAATACGGGTTTTCCAAATATCTCGACTCCTGCGCCACCTATCGGCAAAATTTTTTTCGGATTAATTTCTTTTCATATACGTAATAAATGTTCTAAATACGAACCAAATCAGACCATAAATGCGGGTTTTACAAATATCTCGACTCCTGCGCCACCTAGCGGATTAAAACATCTTTTAAATTGTATTGTCCTCGAGTTCTGAGCTAAGTTTGAAGTTTCAAGTCTGTAGCTCATCGGGAAGTTTGTTAAATATTGACTGCAAAGTTCCAGGACATACATACATACATACATACATACATACAAGTGAAGTTAAATAAAAGCTTGTAAAAAAATCTTTTTGGATGAAGCATCGGATCTTAGTACTGCCTACTAAGCTGTAAGTGAATGGAAATATAAGCTTTAAATCTTCTGCTGCTGTTTAAATATGTAAGACGTGTAGAATTAATTGGACAACTGACAAATTTAAACATTTTCATAAATTTTTACGCGAAAAAAACTATTACAAGAATTTGTCACTGATATGGAGAGCCGTATGTATGCGAAGATTAAGATTTTAAGATTTTTGAATTCTTTTAAAAAGTTGCTGGTCACTACTTTCCCCCTCTAACTTTCTCCGAACTTGGCTTAAATTTTAAGTTGAAAAAACTTACTAAACTTGCCTACATATGTATGTATGTAGGTAAATATGGATGAGCATACATAAGCATGTGTGTATGTACTTGCAAGTGTGAATTTGCACATAACCACTTCAATAGCCATCTAATGGGAACAAAGAATTTTCATTCATAGAAAAAGTGTTCACCAGACGTTGAGGCAAACTAATGAAAGGCTAATGGACACTGAAACAGAAAATAAAATAATACTCTTATATAAAAATATTCGCGGACTGTATGTGTGTGTGTGTCCACAAAATAAAATTAATAATCAAAACAAAACAAAGCGCTTCTCGGGCAGCATGAAGTCAAAAGTGATTGCAAAATTTTCTAGAAAAAAATCGAAATTCGATACACGAAAACACAACGAAAGAAGCAACAACATTTAAATTTACAAACGAAATTGCGCTGCCAATAAATTGGAACGATAACCTCTGACCCATTGCCGAGAGTACATATGTATGTACATATGTATGTATGTATGTAAGTGCGTGCTTGTGTGTGTATGTGATCGCTGTACCAGCGTATCAAAATAACCAATCAATATATGTACTTAAATGCAAATCAAAGAGACGACCGAAACCAAAATGAAAATGAAACTAAACGCAGAAACAAAAATTAAATTAAAAAAAAAAAATGTACACTAATGGACAAATAAAATCTAGAAAACAGGCCAACAACAATAACAAATGTAAGTGCAAGTTCAGCGCAAATGAAAGAGTAAACAAAGCTTAGAGGAGCAAACAACTGATAAGCGCGCAAAAATGCTGTCATACAATGTAGCGAAATGAAAACAAAGTGAACGCTGAACTCAAATTGAGTGGTGAGATTAAAAATTCCAAGCTGAGCTGAGCTGGTGCATGCAAATTATATATACAAACTAATGTGTGTATGTATGTACATATGTGCAATATGTATGTAAATGTATGCAAATATCGAGCTCTAACTGCCAAAAAGGCGTAAGCGAATATTAAAAAAAAAAATATTTTTGATTTCAGTTAGATGCTAGAAACATTTCTGCATCAAAAAAAAAAAAATAGTAAATATTCAATTACGTCTTTTTGACAGTTAGGGCTCGCTATGTGCATAGAAGAATCACTTAACATATACACACGTAATCATTTTTGTCTTGATAAGCCATTTAAATTGGACTGAGCGTTCCTAAAAAAAGAGCGTTTCAAAGGTATTTTCTCCCTCTTGAACATTGTTGCCAGGTTGATATTTGGTCGTCATTTGGGCGATTTTTAATTGTCATGACGAGTTGATTATTTCGACAAGCAAATGCCAATTTTCCTTCAACTTTAAAACCAGTTTACGCGAACAGCTAAAAATTGCATCCATGCACGTTGACCTTTCCTAATAAAATTGGTGAAAAAAAGTCCGCTTTCCAAAGTTGGTGCGAGTTTTTATCATGTCGATTTTTCGATCTCGATTTTTTTTTTTGCTTCTTCAGAATTTTACTGGGCACAAATATCCTGAACCCAAACTGAAAGACTATTGCAATTCTAAGACTTTTGGAAAAATTTTCCCTTCTCAATGCAATTAAACATATTTTTGTTATTAGTAATTTGGATAATTCGTAAAAAGTTAACTAGTTATATTTTGTATTGTTTTCGTATAACAATCACCATATAAATATTTTAATATTTTGTGTGGGCGATTTTTCAATGCAAAAGACGATTTGCGAGAACCAATTTGACCATTACTCACTTCAACAACCTGGCAACACTGCGCTTGAGTTGACTTGTGCTCACTCAATTTCAAGCGCCGCTCAAGACTTCAAACGCTCCAACACTTGGCTGCTCAGCTCAGTTCTTAATTGAGTTTCGCTATGTTTTGTTCACGACAAAGTGCGCTTTTGCAAATTTTTCTTTTACTTGCTGGCGCTCTGGTGTTGTTGCTCCTTTACAGCACTACCGCCGATGCGTATTCCGGTCTGATACCGCCCGATCCAGGTGTGAAAAGTGTAAAATTAAAGTTTAAAATAAAATATCAAATGATAAAAAATATAGAAAATACTGGTATTCCAAAAAAATAACTATAAAAAGAACAAAATACATAAATAATTTTGTATGAACTACACAAAATTAAAATAAATAATTTTTTGCATAAATTCGTATGGCCCTTTTACTAGATAATGCCAAAAATTGTAAAACAAGCGCCAATATAATCCAAGAAAAAAATAAATAAATTTAAAATTTATGCTGCTTAAGTTTATGCTTTTTCCATAAATTTCAGTGCTCTTTTTCCTATATAAAAAAAAAACACACGTACAAATATCAGAAAAACACAAAAAAAATACTATGAAAATTTTACACCTGATTTTAGAAAATAATTCTAATAAATTTCAGTGCTCTTTTTCCTGTATAAAAAAAAACACATGTACAAAAATCAGAAAAAAACAAAAAAAAAACTATTAAAATTTTATACCTCATTTTAGAAAATAATTCTTTCTAAAAATTACTTTGCCCTTATTTTTGCTAGATAATCCCGGTAAATGTGTTTATCGCGGCGACGAGCTAAAGCTGGGCGTAAATTTGGGCATTGCACCCTGTCAGCGCCTCACCTGCCATGAGAATGGTTCCATACTAATTGAAGGGTAAGTGAGTGGTAATGGAAAATCGAAACACCTTTGTAAGAAGTTTACACTGGTGATAATGAAAATATAATCAGCCTTATCATGAGTTTCATTTTCCCCGAACCGGTTCACTTTTCACTCTTGGTGTCCATGGTTTTACTATGGACGGATGACAAATTTTCGGGTGAATTTTTTTTCAGGCGAAACTCAGGATAAGGCAGAATATGTATTGATATACAAGTGCACGTAAGTTATGGAGAGCGATAGAGAAAAAAATTTAATAAATTAAAATTTGCATAAAAACTCATTTAAATTTTTAAATTAGCAATTGGAAACATAATTCAGAAAGTTCTTAAATATGTGAAGATGCAAGTCATGGAGTTTAGAAATAAATTTCTTGCTAATTTTGACATTTTAGAAAATAAGAATTTGCCGCAAAATTAATTTGTAACTTATCCACGTGATATAGTTCCGCCGATCGTACTATGCATTATTGCTTCGGGGGTTTGCAATCTTACTTATATAATATGCTTCTCGAACATTAGTGCGATGGGAATCTGCTAATACATAGTCATATGATCTACCACAAGCTCTGATTTATTTCGATCTAAAGGCCAGCAAAGCTTTTGTTTATTTTGTTCCGCATTAATTTTGGGATATAACTGTAGGACTTAATCCCAAAATAATTGCGAATTTACGAGCTGATCCCTACCTATGCTTTTAGATACCCGAACAGCAGTTTGTGTGTCGCGGCGTTGTGGTTTAGTAGTTAGAAGTGCGCACTAAAATTCCGCTGGGCCTGTGATTGAGCTCAATTTCCGAGTAATATCAAAACAAAAGAAAAGAAAAAGTTTTTTCTAATACCGGTCGTACATCGGCAGGCAATGGCAAACCTGCGGGAGTATTTCATGTATGTCGTCAAAAACAGCTTCTCACAAAATTACAATCGCCGTTCGGAGTAGGTGCCTCCCCTTTGTGTGACAACATCAACGCCCACGCCACAAATCGGAGGAGAAGCTCGGCCAAACACTAGCATATTGTGTAAGCGTCAATCTGTTATAAATTTGTGAGGAATGATTGTTGTTAAATGCGCTTTTCAATAAGGCTTTAATGTTTGTTTTAAGCAATTAACGTATTTTGTAGCTTTCAAATTGTTGACTGAAATATTTAAGTACTTCCTTCACTAAAAATATTTGATTTTATTTTAATTGGTTATATGTATTTCCGTCTTGTGATTTCTGCAAATTATTAACATATATAGTGCGTGTGAGATTTATGTGCCACACACATATTTGAATATTAATTTTTTTATTATTTAATTTTAATTATTTTAAATAAAATTATAGTTTATTTTTTTTAACAAAAACCGCATAAACCCAAGTTTCAAACTTTCTGCAATATGTAAAACAAAATCAATTATCTTTCTTAAAAAAATCGAGCTTTTCAGTTAAGAGTTTTTAGAAATGTTTTGACTTTTGGCAATTTCTTTTCTTTTTTCATTTGAAGTCGTCGCTCATTTTCTCCATATAAAAAAAATTATCGCGTATATTGCACAAAGTTTATTAAGTAATAAAACAAATAGTAGTCGAAACTTGTCAACATATGGCTGACGTATAAATGTGATACGCACATATGCAAATATTTCATAGTCAACTCAGGCTCAATGTGGCATAGACACGACTACAATGCATAGATGTGAGCAGAAAAAATGCCTGTAAATGTACATATCTACATACGAATAGTTCTTCATACGAAATGTACATATCTACATACGAATAGTTCAAACTTTCTGCAATATGTAAAACAAAATCAATTATCTTTCTTAAAAAAATCGAGCTTTTCAGTTAAGAGTTTTTAGAAATGTTTTGACTTTTGGCAATTTCTTTTCTTTTTTCATTTGAAGTCGTCGCTCATTTTCTCCATATAAAAAAAATTATCGCGTATATTGCACAAAGTTTATTAAGTAATAAAACAAATAGTAGTCGAAACTTGTCAACATATGGCTGACGTATAAATGTGATACGCACTTTATATATATACATATGCAAATATTTCATAGTCAACTCAGGCTCAATGTGGCATAGACACGACTACAATGCATAGATGTGAGCAGAAAAAATGCCTGTAAATGTACATATCTACATACGAATAGTTCTTATAGTAATGCATGAATGGTTGGTTAGAGGAATGTATGTATGTATGTATGTATGTACATATCCATACATATCTGTGCAAAAATGCCTAGGAAAAGTGCACTTACCAATAATTAAATTAATGAATTTAATCAATTAAATAAACAGGCAACGACAACGGCAACAGGCAGCAGACAACTCAATTATTTATTGCACTTATTCCAGCAACTTTCAATTATGCTTTGCCACTTGCCTACATAAATACATACCTACGTACACACGCATCTACATCTCAATTTTCAGCTATTACTGACTTTGCTTTCCAGTGCTATATTCGATTTCATTCTCTTATAATACATATTCTCTTTTTTTTTTCTTGCTCTAATTGCAGTTGCGGCAGATTACGCATCGAGAGCTGCAACAATGGCGAACGCATCCATGCGGACAAACCCTTCCCGGAATGTTGCAAACTGCGCTACAAATGCAAGAAACCCGACGGCACGCCATACTATATTGAGCGCGATACATTCGCCAGCGAGCAGGAGAACAAGCTGAGACGTTAAGGAGGGTTGGCGCGCGGCGACCAGAGAGCGTGGGGGTGGTGGCAGAGAGAGAGAGGGAGATAGAGCGCGCGAAGGTGGTGGGTGAGAAGACAGGGAGGAAAGCGTTTAATGGCAGAGCAGTGATCGCGTCTGAAGTGGGTGCTGCAAGCGAGAGGAATAAATAGAGAGAGGGAGATTATAGCAGCGTCGCTCAAAGTGGATTAAAGCTGCTGTTGAATTCAGTGAAAGAAGGTGGTGTAGGTGGTAGAGAGGACGAGTGGGAGTCTGCTGGCGTTATAGGCAACAGCGCCGTTGATAAGGCTTAAGGCACATTAAATTTGTGTTATTTTGTTTTCTTCTTAGTTTGTAGCGTTATCTCTGTAACCTTAGTTCGTTGATTTTGTATTGATTTCATTTATATGTATGCACGTATTTTTGGTTTTGTTTTTATGTTTGTTTATATGTAGCTTAGAAATATACAAATGCATATTTATTGTCAACAGCATAGAAATTCGATATTTTATGACTGTGGGTGGTGCTGTGACAAACACAGCATTGGAGGGATTTAATTTAAATGATATTGGCTAAAATGTGATTTATTATTTATTTATGCACATACATATGTAAGTCAGTTTTTAGTTTTGTCGGATATTTGAAATTGGATAAATGCGGAAAGTTTCTTTTTCTTTTTGAGCGTTTTTTTATGTGATTTTTTTTTTTATATTTCTTGAGAGCCTGGATATTAAGTATGCTTGAAATTATAAATTTCCGCAGAAAAAGAAACTAACTGCGCTTATGGCATCTATGTGCGTGGATGGATTTTGAGCGAAACAGGATTTCTGAGAAAATTTTAACATTTCGTAGGCCGAATTAAAATTTGTCTAGCAATTAATAAAAATTTAATTTCTTTGTTGATATTAATATCAATATTATTACGAACATACTTATTTAAGTCATACCTATTTATTATCCAATTAAAGATATGACGATTCAGATATACAGTAACGAGCAAAAATGACAGAATAATGATTATTTTTAAATATTCAATTGGTTTTTTAATTAAACAATTTTTGTTAGTTTTTTATAAAAAAATATCCACGCTATAACCACAAACATTTTTGTTAAAGTTTCAATCTCAAAAAAAAAAACAATTTATTTAAAAAAATTCTTAAAATTCCCATTAAAATTTCAAACAGGAGTTTTAGAAAACTTTTGGGTATGCAATTTGATAGCCCATGAAATTCTAGTAATAAAGTGCAAGTTTGAAACGACTAAGAATTCGCTTTGATTTAAATTTTTTTTTATAGCGTGAAATGTATTTTTATAAAACCTAAAAAAAAATTAACTGGAAACTATTTTTGCTCATTAATGGATATGTATGTATGTATGTATTTCTCGATATTTTCGATGTTGTTACATATGTTTATCGGAATTTTTATCGACACAATTTTTGGGTGTACTCATTCGTATTTTATTATCACGTTTATATCAACTCCAGATATGTATCAGTACAAACTTTTCAGTGTTGTAAAAGTATTTACTATAATTAAAGTTTGTTATACAAATATGGCAGCCGAGTTATCGAAAACGATAAAAGAAAATTAATTGTTAAAGGCAGTATATGGAGGTGAAATAGTAAGCTTCAATTGAGATCAATTCGTGTACAAAATGAGAATTTAGTTGTGTCCGAGACAAGCGCTAGCTTTTGTAAGAACAATGCAGCCGGATCACAATTTATAGTTTCTCATCATGTCCGTCCTGATTGATGGCGCTGAGGAATGGACAATGGCAACATCCGATGAGACAGATGAAAATGCTGCAGCTTTGAAATTATTCGATGTGGTACCCGCTGATGGTGGTGGAGGAAGAAGAAGGCAAACTCTAAGCTGGAAATTACAGGTAGAGAGCGAATTAGCTTAATTCGGTGTTCATAATTGGTTCCCGCCGACGAGAAGGATGAAGGACTGGCTTGTCGCAAACCAAGAAAAAGGCAATTACGAAGAATATATAAATGGCGCTGGATAAATTTGTAAAAATTTCCCCTTTTAGTTTCTTTTCCCAAGGAATGGGCAAAATGAGATAGTATATAGTAAGGGCTGCGCAAAAGGTTTTACTTTAACTGCACACTATTGCACACGTCAGTAAATGCAGTAATGAAGCAAATGCACTTGCCAATAAATGAAGTGAAACTCATGGCTTGCTCGCAATCAAAACAAATACTGCATTGTCGCAGCTGTTACTGCAATGACAGTATTTGTTTGCTTATTGAAAATAGTGATTTACACTAAATACATCAAAATAACGGGACAGTACAGCGAGTGCAGTAAAACAATTGGGTGTGCAGTAAACGGCAGCAGTTTGAATATTCAATGTTAGTCAATTTGTGTTAGTACGCCGCGATACAGGTATCAAATATAATTTTTGCCAAAAGCATACATATTATCTAATAAATCAGCTTTGCTTTTCTCTATGAAAGAATCCAAAGTTAAGAATAATTGGGGTAATGTGTTGCTAAAAGTAGGTAACATATACACACTTGACAGTATTTGAAAGCACTGAGGAAGTGAAGTGAAGTATAGCAAAATTAGCAAATTTTTTGATTGTCCTTGAAAAAAAACAATTTATGCAGCCCTCTAGTATATAATATATGTATTTATATCAGCTTGGACATTGTTTTCATCTAGCAAGCGGTTTTCTGGGACGTCTGTTCTTAGAGTGCAAAAGTAACTTGAATTCGTGGAAGCAGTCTACTAGCGTTAGATATTTCAGTAGGTTTTAGTTACAAAAGTGCTTGGTGAGATGGGTGAACAATGTGAGATGGTACCTAATAGGAAAATAAACTAAAAAAATATTTAGCACGATTTTTTTTTCATAAATCAATTCATAAGGCTTATCTCCAATTAAAGCAATTATTTTTCGCTGAATGACTATATTCATCAACTAAAAACCACTGTTGTGACTGTTTTTATATTAATTGCGTTGCATGTGTACAATCCACCAGCAGTTATGTATCCGGTTTTGAGTTAGCTCCCTTTATGACTTAGTACTCAAAGACATTAATATAGGTACTATAGGTGCCCAGGTGCCCGCCATAACTAACTGTTTAAAAGAAGAAGGCGGAGGCTCAGTCTATCAGTAATCCAATACAGATAATTTCAAATATTCTGCCAGCTCTTATTGAAGATTGGCAACACTAAGAACCAAGAGTAAAGCAATTAATATGGTTTCAAGAATTTTTGTTGAATAAATATGAATATTATTATGACTACGTACATATCAGTAATTAATTTGGTTATTTGTTATAAAAAATAAGTATAAAATAACTTTACTGTTGTATTTTCCTGCCTGTGAGGTCAACGGCGAATGGTCATCGCGCCGAGAAGATGGCTTATTTGTAATGAATGTCAATAAACAAGTAATTTGTTGTTAAAATATGCAAACGAAACCCGATTACGCTGCGCCAGCTTTGCTTGTACAATACACACACTTGAAAACACAAACATAACACACACATGCACATGCTGTGGCACTTAACAATGGCCTTGCCACATTCCCTCACATAAAAGACGAAATTACACTGTGCGTCGGGGCGTATGAGCAACATTGCCGCTTAATTAAATTTATGCAAAATATGTATGGAGGACGACCAAGACGATTTTCGTACACCTGTACATGTGTGTGTGTGTGTGTACGACTTAATTTAATGCGTACCAGTGCAAGCGCGTCTGTGCTTGTTTACGTGTATGCGTTGCGTTTGTGCGCGTTTGTATGCATAGTGAAGCGCATCACATTATGCGAGGATGAGGCTTTTATGCTGTTTATTGTCTCCGCTGATGAGTCTACAAAGGCTACTCGGGGCTACTGAGGTAATTTCGTCCGCAGCGCAGCGTACTTTGTGCTATTTTATGTTTTGTGTTGTGTTCTTGCTTGTTGTTGTTATTTTTTTTTTACTTGGCCGCTACTCATTTGTCGCGCGCCGCGCGGACTTTGCGGCAATAAACAATGTCAACAATGAAGGCTGACAGGCAATAAAACCGGCTGCCAGGTAAACGAAAGAGCAGAGCAGGGAGGTGGAGTAGAATGATGGGGATAGCGAAAGCAGACAGCCATCGCTTGTTGTATGCGATGGGATGAAGTTTGCATACTCGTCCAAATATTAATATAAGCGAAAGAAGTTGGAGAGTAGTGATGGACTTAAAGAGGCGTTCTGGTTAAGATATGCCAATGATTTACGTGTTCGCAGTAAAATATGCGCGCTGTCTTGCCACAGCAGCAAAAGAATGTGGCAAAAAGATCTTCAGTAGCGAAATATGAGGGAGGTAAGAGAGGAGAATATGGGTAGGAGTGTCATCCAAACAGCGAGCAGGTCAAGTATGTTTTTAAGTGAGTTGAGTAAAGCGACAGCAGAGGCTTTGATTGGCAATGAAGTGTAACTCTTGTTGCCAATATGAAAAATGAGACATCAGTAATTTGCAAAGTTAAAAATATCCGGGAATTATGTAAGTAAAAGACAGAATTAACGGTAAGTTCATGAAGTGATATCGTAATGGTCAATGTAGTTGATTTGATGGTAGTAAGAGAATTTCTCCAGCTGACAGTAAACAATTAAGAGTTAAGCTGAGAATATTAAGGAAAAGAAAACGAATAAGAGAAAAAGTTACAGAAAGATTTCTATATACACAGTTGTCAAGAAATGATGTGAAAAATGTGAATATGTAAAAATGCAACGTGCAAAAATTTTGGTTATTTCGAAATTTGACAAATTTTTGTTGGCTATTTGAAAACTGCACATGATGTTTTGTTGACTTAAAAAATGGATCTAAATTTTTCGTAATTAAATAGATGAGCATAATTTTTTACTCATGTAAAAACTGAGCATACATAAATTTTTGCTAAATAATAAATATAAGCCATTTGAAAACTTTGGATGAATTTTTCATAGTTTAAAAGCTGGACAAATATTTTGTTTTTTTTTAGTTTTAATACTAGATATAATTTTTTGGCAATCTAAACCTGGACACCTATTTTTGGTACTTTATAAACTGGACATAAATGGTTAATACTTATTTTACGTAATACAAAAACTGGATATAAATGTTTAGGAATTAAAAAATAAAACATAAATTTTTAGTTTTTTGAAAGCTGGACATAACTTCTAAGTAATTTTTGGTCTTTTGAAAAATTGACATAAATTTTTGGTCTTCTTGAAACTGAACATAATTTTTCGTCCATTTAAAGATTTGGTCATATGAAAGGTGGACATAGAGGTTTAAAAATGTAAAAACTGGACAAAAACGTTTGGTATTTGGACATAACTTTTTAGTTGTCTAAAAACTGAACTAAATTTTTCGGTGATTTAAAAAATGGAAATAAGTTTTTGGTCATTCGAAAACTGGACATAATTTTGCTAGTCATTTTGGTGAATTAAAAATTGGGCAAAAACTTTTGGCCTTTTGAAGACATAATAATTCTGTCTCCATTTTTCTTGAAATTTAAAGGCATTAATCCGCACACATAAAATTGAATTGAAAGTGTGGATAAAGCCTTACATCTTTTAAAAATTCACAAAGAATAGGACGACAAAAAATAAATAATGATAATACATTGTTTAAAGTGGTTGCAGAAAAATGAACAGTAAAAAAAATATAAATGTAAACGGATTCACATACATGCATGCAAATTATGTCCACTTTTTACCGTAAAGTTTTTAGTACACTATACCACTAAGTAGTCGTGGTTTAAGGTCCTTTTTTCAAGAGTTCAATGAGCGAATGAATTAATCAATTTTCAGGCCAGAGAAAAGACAGAAAAGCGAAATGAAATATCTAATGCATTGTCTTTAGAAAGCTTTCAACGATATAAGCAGCGACTCTGGATTTGAAATCAAAGCGGAGATGATTGCCAGATGAGCTATGGTCTGGATGGGGTTTAACAAGTAAGAAATATGTGGCTGCCCACTTCCGAATCTGTGTCAACCATTAAGGGTTCTCCACTCTTTCAAAAATCATCTCTGTAAAAATTTTTTATCCACAAATTCCTTCAACAATTTTCTCTTAAATTTTTCATTGGCAATAGTCTTGCATATGTTTTTTATACAACCCTTTCCTCATGCAAAAAGTATTCCGGTAATTTTTTTCGTATTTTTAATCCTTCAAGCCAAGTCAGCGCGCAATGCATGTAAAAATTAAATAAATGTCCACGTAATGGCATTGTTAAAAATAAAAATGAAACAAAAACAAAAAAATTGTGGAAAAGCACAGCACTTTTAAACAACTGCAATTTCTCGTTGATTTTATGTAATAAATAAAATTGCAGCGAAATGTCACGCATACGCTATGATGATGGGTCAGCGAACAAACAAACAACTGCAACTGGAAGTTAGCGAAGAAGTTGGATGGGGAATGTGATGGCAGCGGCTACATACACAAGAACCATCCAGGGAAGTAGTTATGAATGAAAAAAAAAATGCAAAAATAATTTTACGCTGACAGCCGAGCATGAAAAAATGTATGTAACTAAAGCTGCGCGATAACGGTATGGCAGAGTTGCCAAGTGGCCGGTGTGACAATTCTTGAGGGTATGTGTGCAGGGCAGAGAGGAATTAAGCCTACATATAAGAGACGAAATATCAGTAGAGCTGTGAATGCAGAATCATTTGCAAAAATGTAGAAATGTTTGGCAAAAAAAAAATGTACAGAGAAAAAGAAAGCAGTCAACGCTGATGAAACTTTATAAAGCGCACGCGTACAAAAATACTTAATAATATTAGCCGACACGCCTCAAGCGCATTTATTTCAGCAACACACACACACAAACACACATGTTTACGTACGCAGCAGAGTGTGGTGGCCGAAGAAAATTCAAAGGTTTCCCCCCTAAAGTTTTGTGACGTAATTTAGCCAAATTGTCACCCCGAAAAGCACTGCTATTTTTTTCGTATAAAAGCCATTAATAACTTTTGCTGGAGAAAAAAAAAAGAAACTGAGTCACTATGGGATATTTGTAGTAAATAAAGATCCTGAAGGTTGCCTGTTGGGAACTAGCTAGTAGCCAGTTAAACTATTCGACTTTGGGAACAAGAAGTCAACTTCAGAATTTGATGTTATAAAAAGTATCCATTACACATAAATTCACTAAAATTATGCAAAATTTTGTTTGATGAACAATTTGGTTCATACTTTATAATGTGCACTAAATTTACAGTTGGAGGCGTTGTTGGTATTTTCGTTGTGAAATATTTATATTGCGTTGTAGCTGGAAACTTCTGCAAAAGTAGTATATAGTAACGGAAAGTTTCAGCATTTAGTTCTTATTTAAATGGGGCCAGTTCGGTACTAGTTCTGAATTACAAAAAAAATATTTGTTTTATAACTTGAAATAGTGTCAGGTTAATAAGAAGGGTGATATAGTTAAAATGCGGCCAGTTAGAAAACAGTTCTCAAAACGCCGAAGGGCACCAGTTGTATCCACAAAAAATTATTACGAAACACTAATCTCAATTTAGAAGAGCAGCAGTTCGAAACCATGCAAAATTGGCCTCTTTATGCTAGCCTTACCACGGGAACCGAAAATGTCCACCTCCACCCACAGCCAATCGCAATTGCAAGGAAAATGGCAAAGGGGGCGAAATTTATTTGAAAAAATGCATTAAAGTGATTCTGAGCTTTGTTTTTTTTTTAGCTTTAATGCAGGAGTATGTGTGCGGGCGAGTGCACCAATTTCTTGCTATAATTTTTCAAAATCTCTTGCAAAGTAATCGTGCAGCCAAATAGTCAAATGGTGAAGTATAAAATGAAATTGCTTTTGGCTAAGTCTTCTTGGGTAATCGATATGTGGCTTAGTGGGTGGATAAAAAGGAGGTATTAGCAATGATTTTCAAAGCACTGAGCGCAGCAATAGCGGCAGCACAGCCCAGATTCACAAATAAAATGCAAATAGCAAATATGTAAAAGGTGAAAAATGCTAAGAAGAATCTATAAATTATTATATTTTTTTTACGCTACGGCAGCCTTTTGACGTCTGACCCATTTTGCAAAGCTCAAAGCTCTTGCTTCCTAGTCATGCTGTGCGTTTGTGCGCACTTTTCGACTTCAGCAGCGCAATTTTATGCTACCTTTTTTCATAGAGATAAGTGTATATTTTATTGGTAGCAGGTAATCCTTTCTTGTTGTTGTTTTTGTTGTAATTTTTCAATTTCACTTAAATTTTCTCATTTGCTTTTCCACTCACCTTTTTGCAGTAGTCCAGTAAATCCATTTTGTCACGCAGGCATGTGGCGCCCGATGTCTTCTTATTCAAATCCGTTACCCAGCGTCCCTCTTCGGAGAGGTATTGCGGTTGAAATACTTGACCGGCTTCGCAGAGCACCGCAATTTGTGGTTCCCAACGCGGCGAGGCGGCCTAAAAAGAAATGAAAGAAAGCGATTAGCGATGAGAAATATGAAGTAGTCATGAAAACACTGGCAAAAAGTAGCTTCTGGAAATAAATTCACAAAAGGATTAAGTCGTTTCCTTAATAAAGAAAGGCTCTATCTCACGTCGTCGCTCAAATGCAAAAAAGCCGTAACTAACTAAAATTTTGTATTGCATAAAATAACGTGGGGACTTATAATTCGATGAAATGCATCTTAATCCAACAAAAAATTAATTTTGGATTTATAAAAATAAATAAATAAAAATAAATTTTTTTAATACACAGCTTTCTTTAAAGTCCTTATATTTTTAGTATTCTCCTTTCAAACCCCTCTCCCTTGCTCTTTCCTATAATTTCCTTATTACCACTCTCATTCGTAGCTGCTGCTACAGCATCCATCCACCCTTCCTTCAGAGCTTACGCTCCAATTCCGAATCATTCGACATCAATCATACGCCCCGTTGTCCAGCGCTCAAGTGTGGCATACTCGTATTTGTCGCACACTTTAACAGCCAAAGCTAATTTTTAATGCTCGCTTTAATAAGCAGAAAAGCCAATTTCAAAATGTCTTAGTCACCTAGTTTCGCTGGACCTGCACTGACTGCTTCTTGCCGGCCATTTCACTTTCTTACTTCAATTCACTTTGAATTTATTTCCATAGCTGGTTGGCTGATGAGGGTCGGACAAGGAGCGTTTGTTGAGCTAATTTTTTTCCGAACCATAATTTTGAATTACTTTTTAGCTTGTAACTATGTAGAATGGATTCACCAGAAAAAAAAAATGGATTCACGAATTACTAAGAATTTAATATTAAAACTATTTTGGTTTACTAAAATATTTAGAGCATCATAATAATTAACAAAAATGGAAAAAAAATATGAAAATCAAATCTTACTTGTTACTTGGGTTAAGGATTTTACCTAATTTAATAGGGTACTTTTCATTTAAAAAGTTTTGAATTTTAATTTGAATATTTTTAATTTTTACTGAAGATGTTGTTGGAAAGGGATTATTTAAAATTCAAATTTTTTCTTTCATTTGTAAGTATGCAAAATTAGTACACAAAATTTTAAACACGTTTTCCATAAAAATGTTGACATTATTTTGAATGAAAGTGCAAATTTTGTTTGCTAAAATTTTTTACCCGAAGATGCAATGGATACTTTGAAATTTGGAAAATTCTGAGAGGATCACGCTTGATTATAATATTCGCATGTACTTCACTTCTTATGCGAAACACTAAGTAAAAGTTAACAATATAAAAACAATTCTTTTCCACTCTAAATTTTTTCTATTTTCTTTAAAAAAAAGCTTTAGGAAACTTTTTCATGTTGTAAAAGTAGTCTAAAGACGCTAATAAATTTGAAAAAAAAAAAAATATTTTTAAGAAATTTTTACAAAAAAAAACAAATAACAAAATGAAAATTTTGTATTAAAAAGTAAAAAATCTGTTTTTCTTAAAAAAAAAATGTATATATATATAGATACATATATAAATATATGTACATACATACATGTATAAATGTTAAATTTAAAAAATTGTTTTTTTTTATTAATTTCCCCCTTATTTTAATTCTTCTTTTCTACTCTAGAATTCTTTTGCGCAAAAAAAATCGTGTCAGTACACCTACATACATACAAATGCAGCTTAAAACGAATATTGGTGTCATTAATAATTGCTTACGTTTCTTGTTTTTGTATTATTTGCAAAGTTCTAAACTAACAAAAATTTACAAATTCATTCAGGCATACATACGTACACATACTCCATAGTCGGCGCTGTCTAAATCGAAGTTGTTTTCAATATTTATTCAGCCAACACTTTGTATAGTAAAAAATGTTTAACACAATTTTTTCCAAACATGCATTATAGTATGGGTAAGTAAATACTTAACAACTAAGAGGGTATAAATAACATAATTAAATGTATACACAAATATGCACATATGTATGTATGTATATAGATAAACACTACATATTCATATTCTGCAACGATCTGATGCGATTAGTAAAATGCAAATTAGCGTATTGCGTATGACAATGCAGACGAGAAAACAATGCAAATGGAAAGATGAATGAACAATAATAACGCGATATAAATAAAAACAAAACCATTGTTCAAATAATAACTAAGACTTGAAGGGCCATTGTGAGTGGAGGGAAAATTTTGCTGCACACAAAATGTAAGAACTATTTGTAACTAGTCTATAGAAAATTCTAAAAAAAAATTTAAATAAAACGAATTGTATAGAACGCAGCATAATTGCAAGAAAGAAAAATTAAAACCAAAAATGTAATAAAGAAAAATCTTGACAAAATATGTTTAATTTTTCTTTTACGCTGTGTGAAGCCTTCAAAATGGCATAGAACGGAAAAAAATAAGAATGAATTTAGTAAAAAATCATTACAATACACAATACACTAAAAAATTTAAAATTTCAATATATTTAAAAAACAATGAAGATTAAAAAAATTAAAGCAAAGCTCTTATTTCTTCCACAAACAAGTAATGTTTAAGCGAAAAACCAAACCGACTTCAATTTTCATAAAAAAATTTATGAGTACCGTTAAAATCATCTCCAATGCTCAGATCTAAACCAAATTAATATGGGACCACCTCTTCTTAAATAAATTTTATAGAAATTGGTTAACGCGGTCCAAAGTTATGCGGTAACATCCATTACAAAAATTATATTCCGAAGAATTGATAACCTCCTCCTTTTTTTAGTTGGTTAAAAACATGCCCCCAGTAAAAATAAATAAGTTAAATTAAAAAATTGTAAGTGTGTTATATGAGTGTCAGGAGGAGGTACATAATACCAACCGGGGTTATACCAAAGTGTCATTGTAGTACCCGTTAAGCCATTTACTGACACAGCCGAAATTGGGGAGGGTCAACAGTTTTACTTGCGTTATCTCTACAAAGCTGGTGGAAAAGCGAGATCCCAAGTGCTTATTAGGGGGTTATCCGTCTCACTTATCAGTTTATTCGAAACTTATATTTATAACCATTTCATTAGCCAGTTCGTTCCCTTCGAAATTGCCAAGCAGAGAGCAGCGTTGACGTGACTCAGTGTTGCTAGCTAAGCGCGACACTTTGCATCCTTAGGCTTTTAATGCCGGTCGACTGTCAACGTATGACTTCCCTTGATACATTGCAAAAATCTCTGCCTGAGAAACACTGCAGGCCCCATTTGCAGATCCTTTCAACAGAGATACAGTATTGGACATATCTATAGCACCCCCATTTGAAAGTGCTATTCTTTGCCACTTATGTTTAACTATTTATTTTTAAACATTTTCAATTGAAATAACAGATCATTCTCTAACAAAATTAATATAAAACCAAGTTTAAACCGTTTTAAACGACTGCAAAAAAACGCAACAAATTTTAACCCAAATTTTAAACTTTTTTCACATAAGTGTTAGAATTTTTTCAAGTACACAATTTTATAGCCATTTAATTTTAGTCTTATAATGTGCAAGTTTCAAGTCGCTAAAAACTACCGTAGATTTTTTTAAATTTTTTGTCCTATTTACTTCCATATAACGAATAAACACAACTAATTTTTATATGGAATAAACTCGTAATACCTCCGGCGAAGAAAATTCTAAAAAATCAACGGTAATATTTAGCCACTTGAAACTTGCACATTGTTAGACTAAATTTGAATGCGTACTCCAAAAAATTCTAACACTTATGAGAAAAAAGTTTGAAATTTGGGTGAAAATTTGTCGCGTTTTTTGTAGTCTTTTAAAAACTTTTCAACTTGGGTTCATATGAGTTTTGTTAGAGAATAAACTGCATTTTAATTGAAAATTTCTAAAAATAAATAAATAAACATGAGAAGCAAATAATATAAATTTGAATTGGCGGTGCTATTGTGTTGGCCAATACTGTATTTGTCAACTATTTTTTCCATCTCTAAGCTTTCGTAGAAAACATCATGTGCATTCGGCTATTTTGCTCAGTTAATATCACCTTTATTCGACAGCGTCTGTTATGAACACTTGTAGCGGCTTTAAGTGAAGCATCATATTCAGTACTTCTTACGCTGCACAGCTCACAGCGCCCCATAGACTATCAACAGCATTTAAAATTATTTAAAATTTCCTCTTGCTTTTGCTTCATCCTACAACGCCATAATAATTTTTGATCAAGCTACTAATCATTAAATTTCTTGTTGGGTCTGTTATTATTTCTATTATTGCATTATTATCGTTCCATACTTGTTATGTTCTTTATTATTTTTCTAATTCTTTTTTTTTTCTTATTGAGTGTCCTCTACTATATTTTGCACAATTTTTACGCTCATTTGTGCGCGATTGTTTACAGAGGATAAAAGCTATTGTTTTTTTTTCGCAGTGCTTCATCACCACCGACTAAACAAGCACCTCACTCCATACGAATGCACGCCCCGTAATAAAATTGGCTTCCCCTCACCACACAACACTGATTATCCTCCTTATTCTGCTTATTGTGTTTACTCGCGTTATTATTTTAGTTTTCTAGCTACTAAATCTCACAAGTTTTGTTGTTACCACTATGCACAATGCATAGAAATAATAATTTTTATTTTTATTTTTTGCTGCGATGTGGTTTTTGTTTCCATTTATTATGGCAACGCCAACCAGCTTTGGCTTGAGGCAATTACTGTTTTCGCGTAAGTCACGTAATTAGTGACAATAAAAAATTATTTCAATTTTTGGTGCACCAAATTAGCAGAGTTCGGTTTTGTGGGACAAGAATTAAAGGAAAATATGAAGCAAACAAGAAAAAAAAACCAAACAAAATGCGGGAGTACATAGATTGTAACCGAAAATTAAGAAAATTTTTAGCGCAAAAAAAGCGAAATTAAATTAAAAATTCAAAATAATAGACTGCGATAAAAATATATAAAGATTCGAATGCGAATTTTTTTATGCTTAGAAATGGGGAAAATTCTCAATGTAGTCGAGCTTTTTGTAATGGATAGACGCCCTAAAGTATGCAATACTAGATAATTTCAGCTACTTGTTTC